GAATGTGTAGTTGAATTTGGAAAATGCAATTCAATGTTGAGCAGTTTTCCAGGAAAAATGGTGAATACAATACTGTACTGTCCACATATAAAAGGAAAAAAAAAAAAAAAAAAAAAAAAAAAAAAAAAAAAGTCTAAATACTTCCTGCCAGTATGTGTCTTATAATTAAATTTAAATAATTAAATCTGTTGCCTCTGAGCTGCAGCATTTTGTACGTGCTGATAAAACGATTAGGTTTGATCTTTGGCCCAGCATTCGGTCACTGTGACACTTGTACCTGTCAGCAGTTCAAGATAAGAAGTCCTTACCCTGCTTTGCCCCATTTAACAGAAAACCGCAAAACAACCAGGCTGAAAAAGTTTTGAACAGACTTGAGCTGTTCGCTTTTATTTTGAAATGAGCTCCTCTGATCTCAGTGAACTTTTGAGCTTGGTTATTAAAACCAAGTTCTTGCTCGTGAATTTATTCAACTGCTCACTTTCTGCATTTTCTGCCAACAATGTCTTCAACAGTGCCGCAAACCTCCTTTCTGAAACTGAATAATCAAAACTTACAAAATAGAGTTAGTGTCTTATTCAACATGAAACCAAAATGAGCGACTGAGTCAATAAATTCACCAGCAAATTTGTCAGGGTTAAGGGACATTTTCCCATACACGCCAATCGAATACAGCCACAGTCAGACAGCCCTAAACACCATTTGGCAACCAGCAGCTTCAAGTGGTTGCAGGAGGTTGATGGCAGTTGCTGTGAAAATAGGAAAGCAAGCCTGCGACCCCGTGCAATCACCTGTCACTGGGTAAAGTGTATTCCCCCTGTTGGCAAAACCCTCATAGTTTCTTTGGTTGCTACTGCAGTCACAGTTTGAATGGAAGTGAAAGACTTTTCTCCAAAAACTTTTTCTGAAATTTTTGGCTGCACAGCTGGAGCAAAACTTTTACTGTAAAAGACAAACCTCTTCCATTTCCAGTTTTTGTCATACCTTTTCAAGTTGTTCCGTTGCTTGGCTAGTAATTAACAAATGTTTGCAGACAAACATGAAAATCTACAAGCAACTGTTGCAATATGCAAGCAACCAAAGCAATTAGTAGGATATTTCTAGTGAAGAACCTTCTTACAATCGGATTTCACGCAGCGAGAGCCAGCAACCACAACCAACCAGTAGAGAAATACATTTCCCTAGCAACCAGTCGAAAGATCCCATTCGATATGGCACAAGGAGTACTGCGAGTACTGCTGGGCCCAATACTCACATATCCTAATATATTCCCCAGAAACAGCATCTACTTTTCTT